ACTCTTTCCACAAATTTGAAGTTCGAACGGGTAGCGGGATATATTATTTATTTTGATAACTACAACGCAATTCTATTTTTATATAAACCAAAATAATAGACTTTATTTGTTTTTGTTTTCAGTGGAATATAATTAATTTGATTCTACTGTCCAAGTTTTTAAGTGTTTCTGTTTTTGAGATATATATATATAAAAAAAAAAGTTGTGTTGTTGTTTATGCAAGATCCTCTTTAGACATTTTTTTTTTATATTTGGATCAATAAAATAACATATTAAAAATCTGTTTTTGAAAAGAATTACGTGGTAAAATGGTATAGTCACTCTATATTTTTTTCCCCATCAGAATTATGATGAAATCCGAAAGAAGAGGAAATTCAGTAAAATGTCAGCATGTGTTTCAAAGTTAAACATTCTTCTTCTCTCAGTCCGAATCATGATTTTGCGGGCAGCGGCAAGAATGCCGCTGGGGAACCAATGCGATCTCGCTGTGAGCGCCGAGGAGGGCAGAAACCGTGCGGTGTCTGAAGGGCTGTTCTTCATGAAGACAGCTTTTGAGACGGTGGTTCGGGAGATTCACGGTAACATTAAGCAACTGAACTCTGACACTTACAAACCTGAGCTAACCGTCGAAAGGGTAAACCTTGGTGAAGAGGGGAAACGACGGCGCAAAGCAAGCGGCGATGCTTTCCTGCTGTTGAAGTTAACTTCTCCATCTGCTTCCCCGTGTGGGCCGGAGGTTGGTTGGTTCACTTTGTTACCAGATAAGACATAGCTTGCGGGGAGGCCGGAGGGAGATGTTTACACACGCAGACACAGAGCAAATGATCAACCGGTTTGGTTGTGTGGGACTCTTACGTCAGTGTACAAGTTATGTTCTCCAAGCCATTTCCTTTGTTTTATATTTCGGCCTAGGGTTTAATGGGTAGAGAAGATGATTTGTCATTCGCCAAATATAAGGGTAGCAACGTCATGGGGGCTTCAGTGTTTGCATTCAACAGTAGAAACTCTAGCAGTGAGCATATAGATCTAAACAACAAACAGTAAGAAGGATGCATCTTGTTGCAAGAGAACATAACAGAGGATCTGACTGTTAGAAGGATGTTTCACTCAGGATTGAAACAAACACAACATCTGAGATGAATCTTCAGCAGTCAAGTATGAATGATGATGATGGTGATGATGATGATCCTGAGTGACTTGATATTTCCCATTATATCCGAGAATGGCATTACTTGAGGTATATATATGAATATAGGAATCCGGAGACACCTATGCCAATTTTTTCTGTCCATCGATTTAGGGTTTTGAAACCCTAAATCCTTTTTTTTAAATCCGGTTAAATAGAACCGGAATTGATTTCTAAACCGTTTCGAGTGGACTGATGATGTGTCTCGTGACGTGGCTAATTTTGTGAGGTGGCATACCATGTAAGTATCCAGAGGCTGAGTTGGTACCGAAAATCCCTTTTCTATGGAAAATCGCAATTTAATTTTGTCTTTTGGTATAGCTAATTGGAAATATTTGAAATCACTCTTCAGTTTTCTGTTGAGGTCTATCCTGTAGAGGTACTCAAATTGGATCAGTGATCGATTTCTAGGTCTTGTCGTAAACCTATACTTCCAATTACGTAAATCAAATAGTTCAAACCGCACTCAAAGGTAGGGCATTTTCCATTTTTATAGAAACTTCTATACCAGAAACAATGGTATCTCCAATTATAGCCCTTCTGGTATGTAAAATATATTTAAGTGAGATTTATTGTCAAACTAAAAATTTGTGTATTGATCTCACATATTTGAGTAAATTGGTGTGGGTTTATATCATTTTCACGGTTGAATAAGACCATTTTTCCGAAATCTCGTGAAAGAATTAGATGGCGAACACAATAGAAGCAATACCAAATCATCATCGTTGTACCTCAACTTCATAACCTCCAAATCTGAAATAATATCATTGAAGGCTGCCATATGGTTCAAAATTGATCCACCCTCAGGCGATCGATGAAGAAATCCGTGATATTTTTTTTTGTCACACTTCTTTTAATTTCTTCTATAATGTGGTTGTAGTCGCCTTCTCACACAGAACTTCGTGCCAAATTGAACTTGACATATGTAGATGGATCATAGTTAGGGCCTTTTAATTTGGAAAAAACTCTAATTTTCGGCTTCGATTATTAAAATTTCATATGGTAGAAATCACTCGAGATGACAATGAACAAACGATAAAAAGAATAATATTCAATAATATTTAGTAACACGTCTCTCCTCCCCACTAGTGAAATCTGATTCATGATCTTGAAGTGATTTTATATCTCTCAACCACTGGGCACCAACTAGAATTTTATCCAATAATAATTTTGTTCGTAGCTCCCTAATATTCATTGAATAGATCATGCAATAGAATACGTTTTGAATGATATATATATATGAGCATCCGGCTTGTTATGTATAACTATAGGAAAGTAGATGGATATAACATGCTAGATGATATCAACAGAACATTTCGACTCTATTTTTGAAATAATTAAATCTTTACAATATTATCTATATATCTCTCTAGAAATTTATTTATATGTAATATCAAAACCAGTTCATATCTAGTCCGACGAAAATAAAACCAGAAAATTACTTTCTTAATTGTTTAGTAATCTTCTCCATCTCAACCTAACATAGTATAGAAATATTTCTGATCTTGAGGGCTTTCGTTTACCTAACCCTAACCGCTGACGCCATAAATTAATCTGATTTCCTCGGTCGTCCTATTTTTTCTCTCCTTGTAAATTATCGGAAAAAAAATGAGATTTTACTAATAGAAGATTAGCTCATCGATCTCCATCTTACTTTCTTCCATCGTCGATCTTCTCCTTGCTCAATGTTTATGGTTTTCAGATGAGAAAATCTCCGAGAAAAAAAACCTCTAAACATTGGCTTTCTTGCACGTCAAGTAGCGGCCGACCCAATTCAACTGGAAAAAACTGAACTGGTTTGCATTCACTATCACGGACCACACCACACATATTATCTGAAATAACCAAGAAGATTTTGCTTCAGCGTAATCGTATCGTTCTACAAAATACAACAAAGAGAGTGTGCGAGCGGTTGGAAAGGTGTGGCTCTCTGCCTCTAGGCTCCATCCACGGTTCGAATCCAGCTTTTGGGGAGGGAGGGGGTGTTTTCTCGATCGAGAGGGTGTTGCTCTCTGAACCCCTATCGTCAGACCTCTAAAGGCTACTCCCGGGTCTAGGGGATGTAGGTTGGGCCATAGGTTAAGGTAAACCTCCTGGATAACAAAAAAAAACTTATCATGTTACCCACAGTTGGATAGTTCAACCGGTGAAACGCGAGCGCACAACGTCTGTCTCGTCTCGAGTTCGAACCTCAAGTTTGAAGAGGAAATGTATAATCCAAATTATATGGCTGATTCCCGCCCCCAGAATTAATCCGGATCTTGATCCAGAATACTCAGTTATAAAAAAAAAACTTATATCTAGATTTGTTTGAAAGAATCAAAATGGATCTAATCCGATAGATTTTCTTTAGAATGATATTGTTAGTACGTAAATGGAAAGTTTTTTTTCTTCCAAAGAAGTGTAATTAGTATGGTTATTGTGGATGTGAAATCAAGGAAAAAAAACGTGGGGAGAGGAGAGAATTAAAAGAAGAAAACAATTAGCATGTATTAAACGAAGTGGGCTCTGATATTATGATAGGATTCGATAAAGTTGTTATTATCGAAAGAGAATAATAAATGTTTATATACAGAGAAAGAGTCCACGTGGAAAGAGAGATTCTAGAATTGTATATAGATGGAGATATTGGGAGATTATAAGATCTTATATTACACATAAGCAAAGAAGTTTTGATGGATTTTGGTCATGCAGGTTTTAAAATTTTGATTGGTTTTTAATTTATTTTTACTTTTTTTTTTTACTTTGTAAAATTAGATGTGAAGATTTTAAAACAGAAGAATGAGTAATTCAAATTATTATAAAATTAAATGAGAAATTTTAAAAGAGAGAGATGAGTAATCCAAATTAACTGTTATTTTAAATATAATTTTAATAATATTTATTGTTATTTTAAATGAAATTTATAGATTTATCATTTATAACAGGATAATTATAAAGAAATTATGATAAAAGATAAGATTTTAAAATGAATTTAGAAAAAATAAAGTGGTGAAAGGAATTTGGATAAATTTAATAATTTTTTTTAATAAAATATATTATTATTTTAATTATATTTATCGATTTATTTATCAATATATTGGATATTAAATGATGGATTGAAAGTTTATATAAAAAAGTATAATTATACGTGATATTTCTTAGCGAATTTCTATGGGATAATTTAGATGTAAATATTACTACTCTCGTTCTCACGTAAAATGTTAATAAATATGTGAATCTTCTATTTATTAACCGAATATGACTTTATATATATATATATATATATATGATATTAATTAATAATTATGTTAAGTATCAAATTCAGATTAAAAAAACATGAGTTTAATCCTTAATTATTAAATAAATTTCAAATTCATATGCACTTTGATATATATATATATATATTCATTGCTTCCATTGGTATGATATCAAAACTACATTTGGTTTGGTAGATGAATTTTATACCATACCTTTTTTAATCTATTTTTGTATGACGCAGTGTGACCATCGTCATATAATTTGATTTGAACGGTATAACTGTTGATATTTTAGAGTAAATAGTTGATTGATTTTAATGTCTCATGAAATTTATGTACACGTATATTACGAGTATGGCGGAGGACGTGTCGTGAATTGGTTTATAGTGTTATGATTCGTCGGAAAAATTTACCTTCGATTTAGAACGTGAAAAGTGATCTAAAAAAAATGGGAGAGTAGCTCGAAAATATGGACGGAGAGCCTGTTTTTCTGAAGAATATAGTTTGAATAAACAGACAATAACTCTAATAAATGGGCGGGTAGTCCGTTTTTTCTGAGTGATTGTTTAAGGGAAAAGTCGCGATAGGTCGACAAAAGCTTCCGAATTTTCATGTCTTTTCGACATTTTTTTAGTGTTAAAACACACTAGTAACCATATAACACGACTAAGAAGGGAGAAAAACATAAAAACACGGATTTGTGACAAGATCTAATGGATTTTATGAGTGATTTGAGGGTGTTCTTACAGATAAAGATTTCTTTGTTTTCGGATAAACAAGCTTCTGTTGATGATTATCGAAAGGGTAAAGCGAAATCATTGTCGCTTCGTTGTATCTTAAAAATATATTCCTATAATCTCATTTATTCGGTTAAGATGGAATAACACTTTTAGAAAAGTGTTCGTCTTCAAATTATATCTGATTCTCTACTATTTTATTCATGTTTTGATAGGTTGAAAACATAATTATCGCATCAGATCGAAGTCGTCATCTTATCGAATATGTATGAATTTTCATATTAATACTTTTCTCTAACAATCTAAAAATATTATTAGATATGTACGTTGATATCACGTAACATGAGTTTTTTTTATTCAATTTATCAAACCAGTATAATTAGTGTTACCATTATATAATTTTAATGATGTGACCGGTATAAATATGAAATAGATCATGATGATCCACCCAAAAAATGATGTAAAATAATATGCTATGAAATCCGTATATCAAATTAAGGATATTTTTTGTAGCATCCAATTCGATTTTATTAATAATTTTCGATTTTTTGAATGTTTTTAATATTCGGTTTGAATTTAAGATATTCGATTTTCTAAAAACATTACTATTGAAGGTTTTTTGAACTGTTCACTGCGGTTGATCGAACTGAAACGTCACCGTTAATAATTATGTTGAATTATTTTATATTATTTTGTTTCTATGGAAATATTATTTTTTTTTAATTTTCTGTGAATTATTTATAAATAAGGTAATAATCTTTTATTGTGCTTTTATACTCCCATTATTAGTTATTCATATCGATTATTAAAGGGCTTAATCGTATTTTTACTCGGAATCAACCAGGTTCAGATAAATAATCCAACAGAAAATACACGTGATTGCATAGCTGGATTCACAAACCAAACACCCAAAACATTAATGCAATATTCATAACAGTTGTTGTCTTGTGGTTCGTGGCACATGGGATGGACAATATTTATGTGTATATATATAACACAATAATATAAAAAGACTCACTCTTCTCGGAAATAAAAATAAAAATTAAATAAATAAAATAAAGCTCACAAAGGAAAAAAAAATCATATACAACCGTTGCCCAAACTTAAAAGAGGAAATTGCAAGTGACCCCCAAAAGGACCACACAACAAAACCAGAGAGAGAGCAATCATCATCATCACTGAAGTTATGTAGACAAAAGCAGAGCTAGTTACAAAGCTGAAACCAACCACCGGATTTCAGATTCATATATGTATATATATATATATATATATATATATATATTTATATATTATAAAAGATGAGATAGATCGGCCCCAAAAGCTGGTTGATGTTTTCGTGATCTTATTTATCATTGTTTTTTCCAGTCATTGCGGTTTCTGGATCGACTTTTACCCGCTGCTCTCGGGGATCCGAGGGATGCTTCCGAAGCTGTTTTCGCCGTATTTGGGTCTCCACTCTGTTCTTCCTCTGACGACTTCAGCCCCGTCTTGGAGACGGAGCAAATGCTGGCATTCCACGTCCCCTGCCATTGCCAGATTCCCGATATCGGCTCCCGAGACCGCCGTGAGGGACTGAAGCACGCTGTCCCGACAGCACTCACGGCGATACTCGAGGGTCATCGACTTTAGCTCGTGGCTCTCGAGGATTGCCACAGGAGCACTCTGTCAACAAAAAAAGAAAATTTCATACAGGTCATCTTTGAGCTTAGAGATTCATAACATTGACCATGGCGGCCCATGTATGATCGTGTGCACTTTTTAGTTGGTTAGTGTTTTCCAGATTTTGATGCAGGCAGGGAAGAAACGGGAATTTTTCGGGTGTTTACGAAATCTAAAGATACCGTTGGTACCCTAAAAAATACATGAGAATACATCTCGATGGCCCGAGAGATAGGGATGAAGGTGCTGCGAAAAAAGTGACAGTATAAGGAAACACTATACCTCGAGGATCCAGCCTATGTACTTGACGTTGTTAACGTGCTGGTTTACGTCTAAGTCACTCCATCGTGGCTGAAAGAAATTACCAACACAAGATTGCAACGCGTAAGATTGTTAAAACATTTTACGGGCTCGAGTTTTAGCTTTTATTGTAAGAGAAAGAAATGGACTTACTGCTAGACCAGATCGAACAAAATCAGCTGTGTTGTCGTCAAGTTTTGGTAACTTTCTGCCGTCCTCATCAACTACAGGGTCGGAGTTCACAAAATAAGGTTCTATTTCCCCTCGAACCTCTTCGGGAATCTTAGATAACCTCCTTGTCAGTTTATTCATCATCACCCACACACTGCAAAAATATATGCCATTTTACTATGCAATCACAGTGTTAAAATAAAGCCAAAACTATAACCCAATATAAATAAATAAAAAAACTCAAGCCTCTGGCTCTAATATATAGTTGCATGATCTTTTGAAAATGAATGTTGGTGTAATGATTCTTTAGATGATAGCTGATTGGCCAATAAGCTTCAAGGAAAACCAGTATACACTTACAGCCGAAATATGAAAGCAATTATAAATCTGACCTGGATGCTCGTGTTAATATTTCTCCGGTATTGCAATCACGAATTACCCAATCACGGCGCATACCGTTCTTTCCAGATTGACTTACCCAGGTGTCTACTTGGACGACATCTCCCCTAACAAACAGACATTACATGAGAAGTGAAGTAAGAATCAAAGATATATCTGTCATAAAAGGCACACGCATAACAGCATCACCCAGCGAGTAAAATAGCCAATTGATTATACACCATTACCCAAGCAGGGCTCTTTACTTTCAGGGTTTTCAAGAAAAAGAAAAGTTAACAAAAGGAACTATGATTCTCAACGATGCTACAGTTTTGTGTTTGGACAATAGCTTACCATGTCGGATATTTATCTACCACAACCTGCATACGGGTAACAACCCATATCAGGTTCTTCTTCGACATCTCAGGAGTTGAACCAAATCCATCTCCCAGCAGCCCAGCAGTCTTTACATGATTGAGGGCTGTTTCCTGTTGAAAATGAGAAGTTAAATAGTTCATTATACATAAACAAGGGCAGTGGCAGCAAAGGGTCATTACTACTTGTACGGAAGCATTTATCAATATTTATGTTTTCAACCATATTGTACCATCAAGTGACCAGTAATACCTGCAAATAACTCATTGACATTTCATCAGGGGAAGTAATATTCAATATATATGTTCTAATGCGAATTGTACCATCAAGTGCCCAGTAATACCTGCAAATGATTCATCAAAGTCTCTATAGATGCTGATCGATCAGCACCTATTTCATATGACCTAATGGAGAAATTTTGACGAAACACGAGACCATCCCCGACGATTTCCCCTATCCCAAAGGGGTCGATTAGCATGTCGGAACGCCTCGGTTTCCAGTCAAGCATCATCCATTGTTTCTCTGCCGCCAAGAAAATCGTAGTTATGGCAGCAAGAAGCATGCTCCAGTCAGGTAGCTGGTTAATGAAAGTCCTGGGCGCGGGCTGCGTGTCATTTTCGATCTTGAAGCTCTCCGCTGGAGTTGTTGCCAAACTAACATTACTGCCATTAATCTTGGGTGGAGCCTGGGCATTTGCCTTGACCTGCATGCTGCCAGAATTCGGTGCCGGATTGATTGCTGAAAAATTTGCGGATCCAATCTTTTTTCCTTTACCAGTTGGATCCACAGACGGAGACGGCATGGGAAAGAACGACGATGTAGCAGCGGTGGCAACCATGATGACAAGATTAGGGCTCAGAGGAAGCAAAATCTGACGCCCAAAAGACACAAAGAACTAAGTTAGAAAATGTCAACCTGTTCGTAAATGCATCAACTAAGGAAGGATTTAATCATGGAAAAAACAAGAGGACCCAGAAATAAACTTGAATAACAATTTCCTGAGAACAAACAAGGAAAAGTAAATCGAATATATCAAGCACAGAATCTCTGTATAAAAAACATTATTCCAAGAAATTCCCTTTTTTTATTATTTTTTGAACGATTCGGTCACTGAGCTGTATCCAACACCCAGAGAACAGCTCAAATCATCTACATGGGAAGAACAAAATTTTCATGTTTTTTTCAAAATAAAACACCAGGAGAAAGCTCTAAAGCATGGAAAAATTAACTCTGGAATATTTAAAGAATTTCAACATTATTGAAGCAGAGTCATAGAAAGTCCATGAAATTAAACAATGACCCAATCAGGTGCAGCTCCGAATGTAACATACGGCGAAGAAAATTCCAGATCTGAAAACCAGACAGCAAAAACCAAAAAAATAAAAAAGAAAACGTAATGTTAAAATTTCAGCAAATCGACGAAACCAAATTGTAATGTCATTTTCTCTCTCAAGCCTCAATTTTCTTGGCAACCAAACAGAAGGCAGAATAGCCAACAGAAAGCCAAAAAATCCGTAAAAAGGCTGGAAATCAACAAATCCGAAAACAAAAATCAAACTCCAACACCATTTTTCTTCTCATGCATATTTCTCCAAGCTAATCAAACACCATATCCGAACCATCAATTCGAAGATTCGAAATGCACGTATCAAATTACATGAACAAAAAAAAAAGGAATCGAAGTCCGTACCGAACAAAAAAGACTGCAGCCGTAAAATCAACGAGGAAAAAGCACTTCCGCGGAGAAATCCTAACACGAACGCAATGCTATTTTTTCTCAATCTGCAAAACCTGAATCCTTCTTCGTTCTTCCTCCCTGGCTCACGATCTCCTTCCTTCTCTTCTGTTAAAAAAAAAAAAACCTTTTCCTTTTTTTCGAATTTCAATTTACCAATTTTTCTAATATTTTTCTCTCGGGAAACCAATAATAAAATAAAAAATACAGATTTCTAGAGAGAGAAAGAGAGGAGAGAGAGACTTAGGGCCAGCGAGTCTGAGCGGTGGGAGAGAAATTGAGGCCACTGGAAGCCTTTTATACTTCCCACGTGGACCCCTCCCGCCTTGCCTTTCCGAAACAATTTTTATTTCCATTTATTAATTTACCTCCTTACCCCTGCTTTTGTTAGTTTTGTTAACCTAATTTTTTTGGCTGACTAAATATTTTTCCCTGACACGCCAAATTCCGGTGGATTTCCCTGTTCCTGTTTATTTTCCCTTGTCTCCTCTTTATTTATGTAACTTAAAATTTATATATATATATATATTGGAAAAAATAATTATATATTAAATAGATATTATTAGGTTTCTACTTATATGAGAAAATATTCAGTATATTTATAATTTGTTTTTAGAGTTCCATCTTTTATAATATTTATTTTATGTTCATCTTTATAAAATTTAGTAGTAGTATTAGATTGTAAATCTTTACATTATTTATTTTGGGGCTCCTGTATTTATAGATAGATTATTATGTAAATGTATTTTCTTGCCATTTCCCTTGAAAAAATGTATTATCTCTTGATCCTAAAAACAGAGATATCTCTCTACGTATGCCTCGTATTGGCCAAACAATGAAATTAGAATAGGGGCTGATCTAACCGATACATAAACATATATATATATATATGCGAGTTTTAATTATAATAAATATTTATTGAACATTGACAATATTTCTACTCAATTTTATAAGTTTTAAATATCATATTAATACATGAATTTATAAAAAAAATCTCCAATAAATACACGAATTTTAAAATTCTCAAATAAATACATAAACTCTTCGTAACTTTTATATTAATCCCTAATTTTTTTTAAAATAATGAAAATAAATCATGAACTTTTAAATAATTCACAAAACCATCATAAAATTAAACCTTGGGCTTTTAAATGATTTCCAAATATTATCATGATATGGTGATTTTTTTAAAATGAGTCATACTTCTCACATTTTTAAACTAAATTAAAAAATGTTTAACAAAACTATTCTTTAACCTTTTGTTAACGTTATGGACGTTGAAACCGTCTCCATAAAATAACATGAGATATTTCAACGTATTTTTTTCACTCATAGATATCCAGAAAAATACTTTATAAGAGATCGTTCGTTTAGAATTTCTACATAATCGAATATGTAAATGCATCTTATTATTATTAATAGTGCATAAATATAAATTTCTGAAGATTTTCAATATACAAATTATCTAAATTGATTTGAGATCTATTATATATATATATATATATATCCAATTCTAAAATTAACAATTCAAAAATTCTTAATCAGAAGAAGGTAGAGGATGGTATCCACGAATTTAGGTTTTTCATATTATTTTTTAGAATTTTATATATTTTAGTTAGGATTTGAGGAAATATATTTATAATGTAATATTTTTAAAAAAATATCATCAAATATTGTAGAATTAATAACAAAACTAAACGGAAATGATTCCAACCAAACCAAATTTATTTTAGTTCAGTTTGATTCAACATTTTCAATGAATTAAATAATCTGAAAATCGTAAACAATTTAATTATTTTGATTTAATATAGCCTTTAAAATATAAATCAGAATGGATCGAAATTAAAATAAATTTATTTATTTAATTCAATAATTTTATTTTAATAAAATAAATGAAAACAAATTAAATCCCTTTTGTCCACCCTTTCATTTAAAATAAGTATGTGAATTCATTTCCCATTACCGAAATAATTTATTTTAACGCAATTAAATACATATTAAAGCATATTTAAAGTATAAGATATGCATACATATATAATAAGGCAAGAAAGGGAATAAGATATAAAAAGCAAGGGTATAACTGATCTTTAAATGACATTGGACACTTGTAATTTAATGGAACCTTTGTCAGCTAACTGATAACCCCAAACCATACTCCTATATTATTATTATTATTATTATTATTATTATTATTATTATTATTATTATTATTATTATTATTATTATTATTATTATTATTATTATTATTATTATTATTATTATTATTATTATTATTATTATTAGTTTTAGAAATAGTTTTAAAGTATTTTTACTTTCTAGTAAAAATAACAATATTCATCTTTTCTTCTTTGATGCGTCTCTTTCGATCTTTTGTTTGTGTCTGTACCAAAAAAACTAATAATTAATCGTTATCCAAAAAAAAAAATTAACTAAACCAAGTAAAATAATTTCCGAAAAGCCTTAAAAAACTTACATGTTTGGAGACTGGAGTTAAATATAATACCTAAAAAGATCTTTAAATTCGCAAGATAATTTTAAATAAGAAAACCTAAATTTGTAATCTTAGAATCAGCCAAAAAAAAAAAGAGTCGAAAACCAGCAAATACTTACAGAGAACATAGAAAAAGTTATTTTAATTAGTGAGATGTAATATTAATAGGTCGAAAAAATATTTTATCGACCAATTCTATGTCGATAAAAACATAAAATTAAATGTGGCCAAAGTGTCGACATGCTTTTAGTCTTAGGACCAAGAATCTATTGCTAAAAATAGAATTAAAATCCGACTATCCATCATGAGTTTTGTAACAAAAAATAATGACGTGGTTAAACTTCTTATTTAATTTTATTTGTTTAATGATGCGGTATAATGATTTGACGTAATTGGATAATTTGATAAAACAAAAAATATGATGTATCATTAAGGAAATTGACAGAATTAGATGCAGTTAATGAATAAGTGAGAAATTGCAATACATTTTCACATTCTGTGTAAGATTTTGAAAAATTTTAAAATACGATATAAGTTTTTATCTTATTAAAAATTGGTATAGGAAATTGAAACATTAAGGAAATTGATGGTAACTATGAGATTTTCCTATATATAATTATATTATACTAGATATATTCGTGATTAATTTTTTTTTGCTATGGAGAATCTTATATAAAAAATAATGGTTGGTGCAAATAAATTAATTAGAGTAAAAGAACAAGTTTGCAAACTAAAAATTTAAAATTAGTTTTTTAGTTTTATTAAAGAATTCATGGTGTATTTATAGGAAAATAACAGGTTTGCAAACATTTTTGTTTTCAAAATGGTATGTATTATATGTTATTATTTTAATTCGAACATTTTCTGTGATTGAATTAAGTTTATATTTTAATTTAAGGATCATCGTTTCGGTACCGTTATTCGGAATCGAACTAGAACCAAAAAATTCAATTTTATTACTAAACCGAACTGTTTAACAATTCAACAATTCAGAACGTAACATTTTTTAAAATCCGAATTTTTCAAAATCGAATCGAATTGAACTAAATTTTAAAAAAATAGGAAAAATAAAATATTTATAAAACAAATATATATTTTTTAATTAAAAACCAAAACCAAAACCGAGTCAAACCGAATATAATATAATAACCTATCAGTACATAATTTTATGAACCGAATGATCCGAGACGAACAGATACCTGATCGAATCCAAACCGAATATCGAAACACATACTAATGGTTTAATTGACATTTTGGAAAAATATAGAGAATAATATGGATACAAATACTGTAATGAAATTCTAATTTTTCTAGTGGGCAACATTAGAAATATGTAATTCCATATAAAGAGGATTATGGTCCATAAATCACATAGCAATCCATTCTCTCACTCTTTTAATTTCGGATTGTGAATATTATTTGATGATATATATAGTTTTTGTTTGGGGGTTTATATTTCGATGCAATTAAGTTACGTTAACGTTAGTGTTGTTGAATAATTTCGATGACATTGAATATTGTTTACACATATGATTATGGGATGTCAAGGTCATGATAATTGTGACGAAGACTGATATCGTCTTGCGTCTACATGTCCAATCAATCGTATTTTTCAAATGGTAATATGTAATTATGTGTTAATCTTTGTTTGATTTAAAGTAAGTAATTTTATTTTATTTTTTTAATAAAAAAAATTGGTTGGACGAAGAGTTTAGGGTTTCGTGTTGATACAAGCAGATAAGTAGCTCAACCACATTTGCATATCATATTTCTATTTTTTTTTTCTCATTTGTCTCCTCTTTGATCACGTTCATTAGCACTATTAATATTAAAATTGTAAGCAAAATCCAGCCACTTATTTTAATATTTTTATGCAAAAATTAACACAGCATCTTTTTACATATCTTTTTACAAATGTTTTTCATTTGATTTGAGAAGCTTCAAATCCCATGGACAAAATTATTTTACACTTTAAATAAGAAATATTCATTTTCAAAATTCTAATTGGTAAGGCCCAAAAAAAAAAAAGAAAAAGCAAAATTGGCAACCCCATAATTTTGTGCCGTGGTCAATGTGGACAACCAGTGTCGACAATATTGACCGATCTAGATTAATAACGTTAGGAGGCTAATTTTAATTATTAAAATTATTTATATAAAACTAATAAAATAATATTAATTTATATTTTTAATAAAACCAGATTAATTTGTTATGTGTTATTAGTATCTCTAATAATTTGTTTTTTTAGATTTTAACAGTCCAAAGGTGTGATAAGCGTCATTATAAGATTGGAGAACAAGAAATCCATGTACCGATAAATATCATTATACTGATAAAAATATATCCATTCACCAAATGGGTTTTAAGAATTGTATCCCCATAGAATAGATAGCGCACAAAATATTCTTAAGATAAGCAAAACCTTGTCCAAGAGATCCTAGAAGTCGTGGTCGAGTGATATAGTTTCGGTTGGAGAGTGTGGTTGGGGTTTCACTTGTATTAGAGATCCTATGTTCGAAAAGCGGGTTAGCGAGGAGGTGCACAATTTAATTGTGGTACACAGACTGTCTTTGAACCTTGAAAGATATAGTTGGACCGAAAGTTTAGTGAGGTTTCGAGTTATAAAAAAAAGCCTTTATACATGAGAACAAGAGACCATCTTTCTAAACTCCAAAGTTTTTCAATCCTCTTCCAAGAAACTCGTCCAAATCTTCTTAAAAGTTGTATGAAAATTGGTTTCGTCAGAATGGGTTGATGGATGTTGCATTTCTCCATCAACGGTAG